GCTTAAGTGATCCTCCTGCCTCAGTCTCCCAAAGTGCTGGAATTACAGGCTTAAGCCACCATGCCCAACTATTATATGTACTTGTGATGTCTGAAATAAGAGAGGTCTGGCTAAAACATCAAGGAGTCCAGTGTCTGGGGAGATGACACCAATCTGGGCATTGGATGAAGCTTCATGCCTGAGGTGACAGTAAACAGAATCTTGAAGAACTGGTCCTCTCAGTAACTTGAAGAGCCCAATTTATTTCAGTTTGGGACATAAGCTTCATAGAGCCTTCTGTACTCACCCAAAGCTCACCTATTGTACACTAAGTGTCTTTATTTTTTTATTCCTTTTTTTTATTTTTTTATTTCAGCATATTATGGGGGTACAAATGTTTAGGTTACAAATATTGCCTTTGCCTCACCCGAGCTTCAAGTATGTCCATCCCCCAGACACTGCACACCGCACCCATAAGGTGTGTATATACCCATCCCCTCCTCCCCCTCCCATCTGCCGACACCCCATGAATGCTATTACTATATGTGCATTTAAGTGTTGATCAGTTAAAACCAATTTGATAGTGAGTACATGTGGTGCTTGTTTTTCCATTCTTGTGATACTTCACTATGAAGAATGGATTCCAGCTCTGTTCAAGATAATATAAGAGGTGCTATATCACCGTTGTATTTTGTGGCTGAATAGAACTCCATGGTATACATATACCACATTTTATAATCCACTCATGTATCGATGAGCACTTAGGTTGTTTCCACATCTTTGCAATTGTGAATTGTGCTGCTATAAACATTCTAGTGCACGTGTCTTTTTTATAGAATGTCTTTTGTTCTTTTGGGTAGATGCTCAGTGATGGAATTGCTGGATCAAATGGAATTTCTACTTGTATCTCTTTAAGGTATCTCCATATTACTTTCCACAGAGGTTGTACTAGTTTGCAGTACACTCCAGCAGTGTAGGAGTGTTCCTATCTCTCCACAGCCACACCAACATTTATTGTTTTGGGACTTTTTGATAAAGACCATTCTCACTGGATATAAGTGATATCTCATTGTGGTTTTCATTTGCATTTCCCTGATGATTAGAGATGTTGAGCATTTTTTCATATGTTTGTTGGCCACTTGTCTATCTTCTTTTGAAAAGTTTCTGTTGATGTCCTTTGCCCACTTTTCGATAGGGTTGGTTGATTTTTCTTGATGATTTTCCTGAGTTCTACATAGCTTCTAGTTATCAGTTCTTTATCAGATGTGTAACATGCAAATATTTTCTCCCATTCTGTAGGTTGTCTGTTAGCTCTAATGATAGTTTCTTTGGCGGTGCAGAAGCATTTTAATTTGATCAAATCCCATTTATTTATTTTTGTTGTTGTTGTGATTGCCTTTGGGGTCTTCTTTACAAATTCTTTGCCTAGGCCAATGTATAGAAGAGTTTTTCCAACATTTTCTTCTAGAATTCTTATAGTTTCATGCCCTTAGGTTTAAGTCTGTCATCCACCATGAGTTGATTTTTGTGAATGGTGAAAGGTGCAGATCCTGTTTCAGTCTTCTACATGTGGCTATCCAATTTTCCCAGCACCATTTATTGAATAAGGATTCTTCTCCCCAGTGTATGTTTTTTTCTGCTTTGTCAAAGATTAGATGGCTATATGAGGATGCTTTTATATCAGGGTTCTCAGTTCTGTTCTATTGGTCTATGTCTCTGTTCTTGTGCCAGTACCATGCTGTTTTAGTTACTATAGCCTTGTAGTATAGTTTGAAGTCTGGTAAATTGATGCCTCCCAATATGTTCTTTTCGTTTAAGATTGCTTTTGCTATACGGGGCTTTCTCTGCTTCCATATGAAGCATAGAATTATTTTTTCTAGATCTGTGAAAAATGATGTTGGTATTTTAATAGGGATTGCATTGAATCTGTATATCACTTGGCGTAGTATAAACATTTTAACAATGTTGATTCTGCCGACCTATGAGCATGGTATGGCTTTCCACCTATTTACGTCCTCTGCTGTTTCCTTCCTCAGTGTTTCGTAGTTCTCCCTGTAGAGATCTTTTACCTCCTTAGTTAAATATATTCCTAAGTGTTTTATTTTCTTTGTTGCTATTGTGAAGGCTATTGAGTCTTTGATTTGGTTCTCAGTTTGACTGTTGTTGGCATATGGGAATGCTACCAATTTCTGTACATGGATTTTTGTAAACTGAGACTTTGCTGAATTTGTTTATCAACTCTAGTAACAGAAGCAAAAACAAAAACCATATGATTCTCTCAATAGACGCAGAAAAAGCATTTGACAAAATTCAACACCCTTTTATGATAAGAA